CCCCCCCCCCAAAAAAAAAAAGTCAAAGCAAGTAATCAAGTCACGTAGTACAGAACAACTTTGGGTAGTATAGCACAGAAGAATAAGAAAGACAAAAAAGTTGTATAAGAGGGCAAGCAGCTGTTCCATGTAATTCGGCAGTGGCGCGGCAGGCTGGCAGCAAACCAAGCTCTCGGCCGTTGACGGGATAGGTTCGATCCGAGGCAAAGATGACGACGGGTGAAGAGAGTACCCTCCCAGATCAATGGGGCATTGAGCATTGGGCATCGGGTAGGATAGCGTGGATAGGCGAATGTGAATAAGAAAAAAGTGAACGCTAGACGGGCCGGAATTATGCAATCAAGTCCGGACGTGACTACGTCCAGTCTAGTGGAGCATCTCTTCGTCCTTTTTTTCCCTCTCTCTTTCGCAGCCGGCTCGACGCGGGGACGGACGTCAACCCGCTTCGGTTTAATGCTGTCTCACAATTCCTGGTGTCCATGAATGGTTTAATCATTATCGTCGTCGTCGTCGTCTTTGCGTCGTAGTCGAGTGCGGGCCCGAAGATTGCGCGCGCAATCTCAATCGCATTCATGGAGCGCATTCATGATCCATCGTCTCATCTGATCGAGCGGGGGGATCCCTTGAATGAATGTTGCAAAAAAAAGGAAACGGCTGACGGGTCGGAGGGAATCTCCTCTTCCCCCCATCCTTTCCCCCTCCCTCTTTTGCTCTCATGGGATGCTCATCCTGACCTAGAATGCTGACCGGTGCGGGTGTGTGACGGGAATGCGATTGCGGACCCGTGATTGATCCTCTGCTTTCCAGAATCCGGGAAGAGAGAAAGCCCTCGGCGAGAGGAGAGGGAACCACCGCGACCAGGGGCCTGGAAGGGGTGACGAAGCGACGAACCTCCCTGCTTTGCTTGAAGCACCACAAAAGCGCACGCTCACAAGACAGACAGACACCAGCCCTCGCCGGGGGAGGGGGTGTGCCTTGAAAGCCCATCCCATGGTGCGAATCACGGGTAATGGTGCGTGCGTATTCCGTACTCCGTACCCTGCCCTCTTTCGTCTCCGTACGGCAACGGGTGCTAGGCTTGCATGGACCACTAGGCGTTCCGCAGTCGCAACGTTCCCTTGTTCGCGCGCCTTGGGTGTGGAGCCTTCAACCTCTCTTCCTCTTCCAGCCCCCACCCTCTCGAGTCCACGTCCGGTCTGGTCTGCAGAGACACTTCATCAACCGTCCCAGGAATTCGGTAAATTGGATGGAGACAGCGCGATAAAAACGCAAACTCTCATCTTGTCCAGACTATGTTTGCGGCCTGCCTACGCCGGGTATCTTTGAGAGGCGACGAGGGGTGGGTGGACTCAAGAGAAAGAGGGCCGCTGGTGCCTGTTCCCTTGTCCTTCAACGGGTCCCCCGCGGAGTCGAGCTCAACGCTAGAGATTTCACTTGATTTGTTCTCTCGTAATTGCCATTGTTCGGCTGCCGTCCGTGGTCTTCCGTTTCGCTGCTTCGTCTAGAGACACCGCAGCCCCAATGATCCCCAATGATCAGAGAGGGGGAACTGGGGACGAGAGCATCCCCCCCTCTTGCTTGGCTCACGGGCCACTGTCAGCCATGGGGTTCCCGATAGTGTTGATCAACTTGGGGGTGCTTGACTGGGCTGAGCTGCCATCCTCGAAGCGATGTAGCCCTCTGTTGCAACTTGCCGTGCCTAGACAGGCTAACCTTGCCCAATGCACACGTCAAGGTTGTCCACTTCGTTTTTCCGATGATCTTTCCAGGACAAGATCGTTTGTTATCTCACGCCATTGTCGGCGGCCGCCTCCATGGGGTGGTATCATGGGGTCGTAGGTGTGCGCAGCCCATTGTTCAACCCATGATTCTGGTCGCAGTAGCCCAGTAAGTTATGGTGTGACATCGAGTCACACTTGGAGAGTGTCAACCCCGGATTCTGGTCTTCGCAGGCGTCCAAAACCCGTATTGCGCCTGTTCCAACCGGTCTTCTTGGTCCAACGGCGAAGCTGCGAAGCGCGAAGCGCGTGTGCCAGGCCGAAGAGACGATCATGCCATCCATCACATCTGCTATGCACTATATCCGGAATGAGCCTGCTAGATCACCGCCAAACGGGCGAAGGAGTGGTCGGTAATTCTCATCTGCAGCGGCTAAGCCACTACTTCTGCGAAACCTAGCCAGTCAAATGGCTATCCGTCTTCTCGGGACGAATCAGAAGTGCAGAATAGAACCGCCTGCCGGGTATAACCTTTCCCTTGCAGAGGAGTCGCAGCATCCGTACAAGCAGAACAGCAAGCAAGCCAATCGCGCCATCCAGCAGCGTCATGGAGACAATCGCTCATCCTGCTCTCCGCTTTTCCACCAGTAGACGCTCTGTTTCCGTCGTACTGCCAATGGAATGACTGCAAACAGGCACTCTGGTCCAGAGTTTCTGCAGCTTCTGCTTCGTTTTTCTTTCTTTGCAGGCCTCGTTCCAGAGCATCGGGTCCAAAGTCGGTGAAGACAATATTGCTCTTGTTCCGGGAAGGAATCCAAATCGATGTGCTCCTGCCTCATTTGGATGTTCGAAACAGACCCGGTGCCGAGTTGAATGGCTCGCCATCTGGCAATCGACATGGCGTCGAACGTTTCCCAGGAAGTGGGAACGGGGGTGGAAGATTGCGCCCGCATTCCAGGTTTCCAGACTTCCAATGACTGCTTTGCGACATCCACCGCGAGATCCGCTTTCGTGATCTAGAGCTCTCTGAAAATTCCTCTGATTTGGAATCGGGGAAAGACAAGAACTACGCCGCAGACTGTCAAAGTAGATCTGCAGCTCGAGGGCTGAGCACCTTGACTGACAGGGTGCACATAGCAAGAGGCTCATGCTTGCTGTACCACCGAGACATGAAGATGTGGGATGTACCTTTGTGAAGCGAGATGTAATCCTGGCCGACGGGCGTTATAGTAAAGTCATGATGGTAGACCGTAGCGGGCTACTCTCGCAGTTACTTTGGTGTCCAGGCGGCGTCGCCTCAGCCGCGTATCAGTGTATGTCAAGCCGCATACCCCGCGCGCTCAAAGAGGAACTTCACCTACTTGAGACACGTTCACTACCCTGGAAGATACGACTGGTATGCGGAACATCGTGCGCGAAGTATCGAGGCTGGAGTATAGCTGGTGAACGACCATGATGAGTGGCTGATGTTCGACTGCTCAGCCTGCGAGATGGGCGCGGAAGGCTGAAGCCATGGTCTGCCGAATTGGCCTGGCGGTGTGCGCGGCCCGTTTGGCGGCCAGCTGCGGTTCCATCACAAATACCCAGGGGTGATGACCGGCTGTACGAGAAGTTCAAGTGGGCCGAACAGACGTCACAGCTTGTCGGTAACTCTGTCCCAATATGGCCCTCGCCGACAAAGTCGATGCTGAAGCTCGCTTCCCCTCAATGCTGCCTGAAACTGGGGCACGGTTCTGATCGGAATGGCTTGACGTTGTGGGGGCAGCACCGGTGATGGACCGCTGCGCTCCGACATTGACTATCATCGGTCCTGGGCGTGAGGCAAGTGTGCATCGTGTCGAAGTCTTCATGAAATAGCTTCGAAATTGTGGGTTGGAACTTGGTCATGTAGAAGAAGAGGTTTCGCGCTTATGCGGCGCGCCTGTCGCCCAACAATAGAAGCGCTTCGAGAAAGCATCCTTCGATGAGGTTGACTTTGGAGGATTTTGGCGTTGTGGGGTTGTTGGAAGAAAGAAAGCTTCCCGTCAGTTAGCGCGAACGGTGGTGAGTGCACTGGCCACACCTTGTTCTCAGTGATGAGGTAAGATTTTGCGATAAGCAAGATAAGAGGGGCAGGTACAACCTTTCGACGTAAGGTACCTAGGACTAAAGCGTATGGGAAATGCGGTTCTTCCTCCTCGACCTGATCAAGATAAAGCTTCTCTTACGAAGCTTACCTATGCCTTCTATCCATTTAACTCACCACCTTGATAGGAGTTCCAAAGGTCAGCTTATCTCGCAACGTTTCCCAGCAAGTACAATCATTCTTTCCAGTTCCATGCCTTACCGCATAAACCCCAGTTCGTGTTGCTCTTCATTTTCCAAGCTGCTCTACGTTCTCGGGGAATCATCGGGTATTCTATCTCTGCTGATCGAGCATATCCAAAGATGCGAAATGATTGTGTGCCTCATGCAAACGGCAAGTGAAAGCAAGACTTTATTGCCGTTAGCCGAAACTCTAGAAGGGAGAGAATAACATCACGACTTTATCGGCACCTTCTAGAAGCCTGATCGACAACTAACTCAAGATACGTTCGTCCAATCTGACTATACGCTACAGCAAGTGCCAGAAGTTGAGGTGCAGCACTACAGCAGCAACGCACCGACTATAGGCATGCTGAGTCAGCAGATCCACCAATGGGAGGAAGATGACAGACATCGCATCCCACTTTGATGTTCGACGTCAGACACGAGACCTATCAAGGGCGGGCTACGTTTTTCAGTTCAACATTGTCCCTTATTTTCTCTGCGAATATTGTCTTTTTTCGGTGATACCCATGTTATTTTTCAAAGAACAACTTGCTTGATGGCCCAAATTCCATGAAGAACCTCGACTTCAGTCCCGCATAAATCGAGAGGCATCTGCCGCTGGCAGCCGGCTGATTGATGGGAGCCCTGCCGAGCGCCACAAGAGATAGCATCACCATGTTATCGCGATCATCCATCCTGGGCTACCTGTGTCTTTTATGGCCGACAGTTGTGTTTGCACTCAGTCACGCTCACCTTGCCGAACTTCGTAATGCAACTACCCAAGTCTTCCACCATGGCTGGGACAACTACATGCGCGTTGCATTCCCAGAGGACGAGGTACGCAAACACCTAGCATCTGCGAGGCATTGGAAACAGACTGACTTTGCATCTAGCTACGCCCGATATCCTGCACACCGCTAACGCGCGACCCGGCGAACCCCGGAAACTACGATTTGAACGATGTCCTTGGCAACTACTCCCTCACCCTCATCGACAGCCTCTCGACCCTGGCTATCCTCGCAGGGACACCCTCCGATGAACATACTGCTGTCTGGGCTCTGCAGGAGTTCCAGCAGAGCGTCGCAGCTTTCGTCGAATACTATGGCGACGGAAGACGCGGGCCGTCTGGGGAAGGGCGAAGGGCGCGAGGCTTTGATCTTGACAGCAAAGTTCAAGTCTTCGAGACAGTCATCAGAGGAGTCGGCGGCTTGCTGAGCGCGCACTTGTTTGCTATCGGAGAGTTGCCTATACCTGGCTATAACCCGGGCCAAACTTTCAATGAAGATGAGGATTCCGATCCGCTGGAGTTGCACCCCATAGCATGGCCAAACAACTTCAAGTACGATGGGCAGCTTCTCAGACTGGCTTTGGACCTTGCAGAGCGGCTCTTGCCCGCTTTCTATACGAACACAGGGCTGCCGTATCCGAGAGTCAACCTACGACATGGCATACCTTTCTACGTCAACTCTCCACTGCACAAGGTGTCTCGCGATGACCCGGATTCGACTCGAGCGACGAACGAAAAGACGGATACGTGTAGCGCCGGCGCCGGAAGCCTTGTCCTAGAATTCACCGTTCTTAGTAGGCTCACAGGCGACTCAAGGTTCGAACAATTGGCGAAGCGAGCGTTTTGGGCAGTGTGGAAGGCCAAGAGCGACATTGGTCTTGTTGGTAATGCAATTGACCCCGAAAAGGGCGAGTGGGTCAGCTTTGACTCGGGGATTGGCGCTGGCGTTGACAGCTTCTTTGAATATGCACTGAAAAGCCATATTCTATTGTCTGGCCATGAGCTGCCGAACGTTACCGCCTCAGAGCCACCCACTGACCGGCAGTGGCTCGATCCCAATACATTACACGACACACCTTTAACGCCTGAGGAGAACTCTGCTGGGGCGTTCCTGGAGGCGTGGCACCATGCACACGCAGCTATCAAGCGCCACCTATACAATGACGCGCATCACCCATATTACATGACTGGTCACCGAACTCGCGGGTACGCTTTCACAAGCTGGATTGACAGCTTAGCAGCCTTCTATCCTGGCTTGCTTGCGATGGCTGGTGAGATTGAGGAGGCCGAGGAAGCCAATCTACTATATACAGCTTTATGGACGCGTTACGGGGCGTTGCCCGAGAGATGGTCTGTACGTGAGAGACAAGTCGACTCAGGTATTGGTTGGTGGCCTGGCCGCCCTGAATTCATCGAGTCCAACTATTACCTGTATCGCGCTACGAACGACCCCTGGTATGTGCACGTCGGAGAGATGGTCCTCAGTGACATCAAGAGACTGTGTTACACGAAATGCGGTTGGTCCGGCCTCCAGAATGTCGACACTGGGGAGAAGGCCGACCGTATGCAGAGCTTTTTTCTTGGCGAGACCACCAAGTATCTATATCTGCTCTTCGACCCAGACCACCCGTTGAACAAGCTCGATGCCGCTTATGTCTTCACCACGGAGGCGCATCCTTTGATCATCCCTCGGAGAAGAACGAGGCCAACAAAGAAGCAGGAACGCCGCAAACAACACAGCAGCGTCGAGGTCTACTACGACGAGAATTTTACGAATACCTGCCCTATCCCAAAGCGAGTTCCTCTTACGGGTTCTGTTCTGGCTGCGCGTCCCGATGTCTTTCACGCAGCGAGTTTCGTCAACCTGCACACCATTTCTAACCCACGTAGTGGAGTTGAGTTGGTTCCCGCCGGCAAAGGCAGCAATGGCTCGATATCGAGATACAAGGCAAACCATACTTTTTTCCCCTGGACACTTCCACGCACGCTCATCCCAGACAACGGCACCTGTGCCGCCCTGCCTTTCAAGCCTACACTAGTCATTGAGTTTCCGGCCAATATTCAACAGGGCAGCGTTGGGAGCGCCTTCAATAGCCTGTTCGCCAACACTGCCGCCTTCAAGACACCTGTAGGCGTTAGGATCTCTGCTCTGAGTGGATTGAAAGTCCACTTTGTTCAGGAAGATTCGTTTGATTCAGCATACGATCATACATGGAGGGTCACCCAAGTCAATCATATGCCGCTGGGACGAGATGAGCCAGTTCACATTGACGCGGACCTCCTGAAAGGCATCTCCGATCCTCTATTCAATCGTGTTCGGTATAATGGCTTTGTCGAGCTCATCATGATGCACGGGGAGCCGGAAGAGCGTAACGCCAGTGCACCTGCCCCCGCCGAGGGGCTGGAGGTTGAGATTAGTGACCTTGACGATCAAGTTCAGCTCACTGAAGAGGCGCAATCTGAGCTCGTAGAAGATCAGACTTCCGGCAAAAGTATGAACACTGCCTACAGGTCCATGCTTAAATCCATGATCCGCGCCGTCACCTCTGTCTTTGATCCCACCAATACCCCGGCGCCGCTCCCCGCTGGTGCCAAGGCAAACTTCCATGTTGAGAGCTACATGGGTGCTTTGGCAGTGGGCAAAGGGGCCGTTCCGCTTCCCGATGTTACTGATGCTTCTATCCCGAGTGACGACACCCCTCCGAACCTTTCTTGGCAGACAGTCTATCGAGCAGGCTTCGGGTGTGACGGTCGCCTGCCTGACGAAGCGCCTCGCAATCACCAGGTTATTGTCCTGCGCCGTGGGGGCTGCTCATTCAGTGAAAAGATTGCCAACATTCCCTCCTACACACCCTCGCCGCGATCTCTACAGCTTGTCATCATTGTCGACGAGGAGGAGCTCGAGACCAACTATGTGTTCAGCGCTCCTGACTTGTGGGAATATGAGATGATTAAGCCTCACCTGGACGTTGAGCAGGTTACACCGTCGGGGCTGCGGCGGCCGCACCCCATTGCTATGGTGATGATTCGCGGTGGTGGACCAGAGGCTTATGAGAAATTTGGCAATGCCCTCGGTGTGGGGGTTCGGAGAAAGTACTTCATTGAGACCCAAGGGCGGAGGGTGGATAACATCATTGTCCTATAAACTGGGTAACGATAGCGTCAGAGTAGAAAAGGAGAGGGTGCTACCCGTCGAATGGGGGTTCATGGTCTTTTGGAGCATAGCGATGCATTGTATATACGGGTCTGGAGGTGCATGATAGATACCATATGTGGAGGAGTTTCCGTTTTGCTTGATCAATTGAAGTTGAATTGCAGTTTCGATTTTTAGCCGTTAGAGCAAGTCCGGGTTTTTATGTTGGTGATGTGAAAAAACAAAAATAAGCCTGAGCATTTGATTTCCTCTGGAGAGCATCTGCCTGGCGGACTTTGATCAAGCTTTCTCCACCGATGCATGCGTTTATCTCTTTTCTTTCATTCTGCGACTTTATTGCATGTTGTACACTTGAATTGTCTGGGCGGGATGGTGTGATTTTACATGTTGATTGGCCTAAACATTAAATCTCCGATGAAACATCCGTCACTCTATGATGATAGTTTTCCGCCGACTTATGAAGATGCTGACGAGAACTACTTTAGTCTTTATGGATTTGTTACTTCATGAAAGTCAAGCTAAAGCTCCTGCCTTTGAACAACAGTAGAGGTTTTGTGGGCCCAGAAGCACGGATGACGCCAAAGGAAGGCAGGACCCCTAGATCAAATTACCTTAAACAACTTCGTCCTAACATAGTGGCGAGATTCTAACCAGGAGCTGTCATGCAACATTTAGTTCAACTTGCCTCAAACTCAAAATCGAACTACCTCTCCCCAAACCCCATCCCATTGACGGTGTGTCGTGTTTATCGTCTTGCTTCAAGGACACCCTCATTAGCCCGAGTCATACTTTGCTTGACACTGCCGAGCACATCAAGGGATAGGACCGATGTGCTGCAAGTGAGCACATCTGGAGGCGCATTCTCGATATCAAAATACCTATTACCCAAACTCTTTCGTCTTGAACCTCGCATTGCACAGCACGTCAACGCATGTCTAAGGCTGCGTGATTCGTTCCTCCCTCATCGACCAGATTTAACACTTCAAGTCTCGTACAGAAATGTACAATAGTGGCTGCGACAAACATCACACCTAGGCCCTTGTTGTTGATGAGACGGCCGGCTCGGTTGAGACCTGACAGGGTAGCCCAGCCCGCCATACGGACTGGAATCTGAAGTCATTTCTACAAAGTTCAACAATCAAATCTCAGGTATGGAGTCGCCCTTCTTTGATGCGGAGCCTCAACCCAAGGCCGCGAGCTTCAAGGGCCGACTTCAGATGCACGATTTCATGTTCACCCCGACCGGCGAACCGCCCAGCGCCAGTAACGCCAGTACTATTACTGCCAACAACGTTTCTACATCTCCCAGCAATTCCCCGCGGCGGCCCCTCCGTCGTAGTCCACGAAAGCAGACTCCACTCGGCCCCGTCCCGTCCCCGAACCGAGTCACCAAGCAGACGGCCGGCGGCCGCACCAAATCGCCAGCCCTCGAGTCCGCTTCAACATCCATCTCTCTCAAAGTCGAAGAAGCTGAAGAAGACTTACAAGACATCTCCAACGAACCAAGCACAAAGCCAGAGCCAACCGCAAAACCAAAACCAAAACCAAAACGCAAACGCAAGGCCGCCGGAGGCTACGCGCCACCCTCAACATACGCCCACCTCCCCCATCTAACCGACATTCTCGCACCAGACCTCCTCGTCCTCTTCGTCGGCCTCAATCCGGGCCTCCGCACCGCGGCCATCGGCCACGTCTACGCCCACCCCTCCAACCTCTTTTGGAAACTCCTCTTCTCCTCGGGCATCACCCCGCGCCTCTGCGCCCCGACAGAGGACCGCGACCTGCCGGCGCTGTACGGGCTGGGCAACACCAACATTGTTGCCCGCCCGAGCCGCAACGGTGCCGAGCTCTCCAAGGCGGAGATGGACGAGGGCGTCGGAGCCCTCGAGGAGAAGGTTCGGGGCTGCAGGCCCGAGGTTGTCTGTATCGTGGGCAAGTCGATCTGGGAGAGCATCTGGCGGGTGAGGCGCGGGAGGGGTATCAAGAAGGAGGAGTTTCGGTACGGATGGCAGGACGAGAACGAGAACATGGGTATCGTTGTGAAGGGGGAGCAGGATGAGGGAATCGAAGGAGATGGTGTAGAGGCATTTGAAGCGTGGGCTGGCGCCAAGGTCTTTGTTGCTACCAGCACGAGTGGTCTTGCTGCATCGCTCCGCCCGGCTGAGAAGGAGAGGATTTGGAGAGAATTGGGTGTTTGGTGTGAGCGAAGACGGGCTGAAAGAGAGGCCAAAGCCGATGCTTGAGGGCAGCGGTCAACAGCGGTGTCGACTGCCTGGGGCAGTAACAGCGATTTCACAAAGTAGTAAGGGGTTGATGTTTGTCAACGCCGACGTCGGCTTATTTTAGAATGGCATTTCGGCAGCTTTTGGCGCAGAATCACTCAGCATAGTTTCGGCCAGCGAGTATATCATACTTGATTTGATTCGTTCATCAATAACTAATGGTTCATTTTGCCGACCCCAGCGATGGAACCCGTTCCCATGATCATGGGACTCTTCCAGCGTCGTTTGTAGGGTATCTTGTTCCATAATAAAACTCCAAGAAACCCAAAAAACCAATACAGCCGATCCTTATGCATGTAACCCCATCCGTCATTAGTATACAAAGGTGCGGTCATACATCCAACATCGGTTGCGCATTATGCCGCGAAGACGGTAGCGAGAACAACCACAACAACGGGCCAGAAGCCGAGTGTCTCCACAGCGGTGCGGAAGGCAGCGGAGCCGACCTCGTCGGAACCGCCGGCAGCGGTTGTGCCGTTGGGCAGGGAGCCGTTGATGAGGATTGTCTCGTTGCCGTTGTACTCGCCAATGTTGACCACGGACTTGTTCAGCGCGGCATAGCTGCCGTTGCCGAGGAGCGAGTTCATGTACTCGGTGCTGTTGTTCTCGTCGCAACCGCAGGGCTGATACTCTTGGCAACCGCACAGCACCGGCTTCGTCTGGTTCTGGCGGGCTGTCTCGTTGTAGTACCGGTACGGGTGGCTGTAGGGATACATGTGCGCGCCGAGCCAAAGACCAGGCCAGAAGGCCAGGGCACCACCGACGAGCAGGAATGGCACCATGTTGCCCCTCCTTGCGCCGGCCGAGTAGGGCACCGTCGCGCCGCCGCCATAGTATCTGCCACCGCCGTATGCTGGGACCGGTCCACTTCCCGTCCTTGTCGATCCCCCAGAGCTATCGCGAGAACCGCCTCTCGATGTGCTTGATTTCGTGTTAGTCTGCTGTCTGCTGCTTCTGCTTCTGCCCGAGAACGGCCACCTCCACCGTCCGGTTGACGAAGAAGGGGAAGAAGACGGGGGTCTGTACCTGGAACCACCACTGCTGCTACCACCACTTTTTGAGCCACCTGATGAACCGCCTTTTGATGAGCTTGATCCTGAAGAACCAGAACCGGATTTGGAGCCGCCGGAGCGACTGCCACCTCCCGACCGGGACCCACCTGAAGAAGAGCCTCCGCCGCGACCGCCGCCGCCGCCACCACCGCCCTTGCGCTTCCACAGCTTCTCGTCCTGCTGGGTGTTGTCGCGCTCGGATTTGGGGGCGAGGAATGCGACGTCGGAGCCGTGGAGACCGGGTTCCACGGCGGCGGCCCACGCGGGCGCGAGCAGCGTCAGCGCGGCGACTGCGAGATCTAATCTCATTTCCGCTTTCGGTGGGATGTGTTTTGCTACCTTAGGCCCGACTATTCGGTAGGAAAGTAAGTAGGTGTGTATGCGTCGCTGATCGAAATGCGACGCTGCAAAAATGCCAATCTACAGTACGCGATAAGGCCGTGCAAGTCTCGTGTGCGACTCGAAAGTGATTAGGCCAAAGTTTGAGATTGGTATGAGCAAGATGCAAGATTGAAGAAGGTTGCAGGAATTGGCGGAAGTGGGAGCGAGTGGAATTTTGTCTCTTTCCCGTTTCAAGAGTGATGGGCAGGGCGTGTCAGAGTGCCAAGAGATTCTAAGTGTGATGGTCTATCCACACTGGCAGGGATGCTCGGACTGGTCCAATATGCCGTCAGACGATGGGCTATGTGATGTGTAATGGACTGTGTGGTCTGGTTGCCACCACACTACCAAGTATGACGGAGGGCCGGAAGAATTGGTACGCCCTGAAAGTTGTGTGGTTGCTTTCCTTGTCCTCCTTCCGCTCTGAACAGCTTGGCTGTGTTCGGTAGGATTTGGGTAAAGACGGAGTTCGGTTTACCGGTAAGGTAAGGAAGGTACTTTGGGATCGGCGCAGTAAGAGTTTCCTGGGTGTATGCGGCGGTTGGAATGCGCGATGAAGTCAGGCCGTTGAAAGAAGGATTGGGGTCGGTGCGTGTCTTTCTTGGGATGTAGGGGTGCCGCAGTCTATGATGCAAGCAGGGGCGTTGCCTGTCGCTTGGTAAAGTTGGTAAAGTAAGAAGGCTCTTTGGTTCTTTTGGTGAGAGGGTGTTCTCGAAGGTCTTGAAAGGAACGATGACGAGGGGGAAGGCGGAAGCCTTGGATATCTTTATAACTCCAGCCAGTGGAGGCAGCATCAGCATGCTGCTTGCCTTTTTCAACTTAAATCATGATAGGCAGGCAATAAGCATTTGGTAAAGCCAAAAGGTTGCGGCACAGCCGTTTGATCCTTCCTATGGATCCGCTCCCATCGTAAACCTCACCGTAGGCTGTTTCTCTTTAGAAAATCCATGGCTGGCGCCCCCTGAACCCTGACATAAGCTTCGGAGACGGCGTTTTCTTATGCACCACCAAGGCACCGAGCATCGGTTGCGATGGTACACGATCCACAGTTTACAAGATATCAAAAAACATACCGACAAACGCAGTTGCTCACCGCACACCGCCGCCCGTTTGCAGTCACCAAGGTCGTTTCCAGCAGGGTATCTACATAAAGAGTGAGCCCTCTGTGCCTCCCTTGAAAGTAAAGTGGAAAGAAGCTACGCCACGAACCGCGATGGATGATCGCCTGTCTAGTTCAATAGATCATCCCTTGCGCCGTTTGGTTCTTATTACCGCCTTGCCGCCTCTCTACGGAATCGACAAAATCGAATAAGTAATTAGAAATCTAGTGAGCGAGAATCTCCAGCAGAGCAAAGTCGGGCGATGCTAAAAGGACTAGCTTGGGGACTTGGAGCAAGCTTGAAAGGTACCTTGGCACACAGCCATCCGCCCGCCACTACACAAGTTTCTGCCTAATAAGAGCCCTGGGATGACAATGTTCCCACCCATCTCGCTTATTCAAGCTTATTCGATGCTGTGGTTGTCACGTTCAGCAATGACTCCAATAGGCTGATTGAGGCTGTGCATGCAGTGCATCACATTCCGCCCGCCCCAGTTGGCGGAGCGGACAGCTCGCACTTGCTCGCCTCTCATCTCAATTTCGTCACTCACTGGTCAACGTGCCTGCTATCGGAACGAGGTCTCATCACGGGCAATCGTACCCTCTCACTCTAACTCCCATGATCTGACTTGCTCACCGGCCTTGTTGCATCACGGTCATACTGGTCATACTGGTCATACTGGTACTAGCAGTACAATCAATGTAGCCTATCAGTGCCAGACCTTCATACCCCAGAGACAACACTGAGGTGAAACTTTTGGCCCCATATTCTTCAGCATTGCTTCTCTCGTCCCTGGATGCCTCGCGAGTTGCCTTGCGCCACTTTTCCGAACCTTTCGGACCTCGTGCTTCCTGCATAGTAGGTATTGTTGCCTCCACAATCGGGCGGACACCTCAAACCCCCTCGCATCAATACAGGCTCATTCGATTCAACTCATCACACCGATGTGCGGGTCTCGTCTACTCTGATTCAATTTGTCTGACCAAAGTCTTCTTTCTTATTACCCTTATACCCGCGTCCTACCTACCCCTTCGGTCTCGGTCAGACTGGAAACCAAAGGTTCAAAGGAAACCAGAAAAGGCCTTGAACATGAGCGGCCCCGACAAGAGTCTGCTAGACCGCTTGAGCGCGCTGAAAGGCGGCAGTCCCGGAGTGTCATTGGACAGGTCATCAAAGTAAATAAGAAGAAAAGACCACCGGCATCTTCGGGACCACCAATTTGCTAAGGTTTTCTATCACAAGTGCCCTGAATGTCTCCCTCACGGGCATCGAGCCAGCAAAGCCGCCCTCGAGGGAGGATGCACTGGCCGCTCGGTTGAGGTCTCTGAGAAACACACCCGAGCGCGAGGAACCGCCCCAGCAGTCCGCAAAGGTCACCACACCAGCGAGCTCTCGTCTCGGTCAGCAGTCTCCGGCGTCCCCATCTCGGGCATGGTCCCACACGGGCGGACCACAAGCAGCAGCACCGCCCCAGTCCCAGCCGCAGCAGCAGCATCAGTCCTCGAGATCGCCCGCGCCGTCGTCCACCACCGCTCCGGCTCCGGCGGCTCCGACGGCAGAAGCGGGGGATGATGACGTCGATCCCCTCCTTCAAACAGATGACCAGACACTCGAGGCTCTGCTCAGCGATGAGGACCTTAGTGGTGGTGCGCCGCAGCAGTGGCAATCCGACCACAAAGATGAGTCCGCCAGGGTCAACGCCCTTCTAGAAGAACTCTCGAAGACTTCGGTGGACCCATCCCGGGGCAATGGGCAGGACAACTCCGATGATGATGATGACTCGGATGGCGGGGAAATGGGCCGCGAGGTGAATGACCTGCTCTCACAGGCTCTAGAGGAGGCGAAGTACAACTCTCGGCGTGAGCCCACTCCACCAACGCCGGGCGATGGGGGCCAAGGTACCTCGCAGGAAGATCATCAAGGTGTAGGTGATGGTGGTACGGAGCTGTCCCTCCCCTCGGTTCCTTCGACTATCGCAGCTCCCAAAGCAGACAATGAAGCCCAAGGCGGCGGGGGCAGCGGCCTCCTCGACCTAGGACTTCCCTCCGTCCCATCCAGCGCTCCCAAGCACGCCGCCGCATCAGACTTTGACAACGACATCGCGGCCCGCATGGCCGCGCTCAGCGGTCTCGGGCGACCCTCGTCAGACGGCGGCGGCGGCGGCGGCATGGGTCTACCCTCCGCACCGACCTTCCAGCCCGCAGACCGCTCTGTGCAGCAGAAGCGGCTGACTTCCAAGACCGGCTACACCGACGAGGATGCCGCGACGTGGTGTACGGTCTGCCTGGAGGACGGCACGCTGCAGTGCCTGGGCTGCGAGGACGTCTACTGCACCAGATGCTGGCACGAGATGCACGTCGGCCCGGCGGCGGCCTTTGATGACCGGACGCACAAGGCTGTTCGGTTTGTCAAGCCGGGTAAGGATAGCGAAAGACGGGTTATGCTGGGAGCGTCATGAGGAGAACCTGTAAACAATGTTTGTGCATTCTGTGTCGCTTAAAGGAAAAATAAAAGACTACCGACCCAGCCAGTTCCCTTCCTGTCATCGTGTGTGTGCCTTGACCCATGTTTCAATACAAAATTCCACGCTTCCCATACCGTCGATGATATGCAATGTGCTTGTTTTACAACCCTTTCCCGTATATTCTCGGCACGATACTTCTGTTATCAAGGGTATTCCTACGACTCAACTAGGCCTCAGAGGATCCGGCACCGTTGTTTCCTTCCTGCGTACCGTAGCTAGTCTTCTTCGTGCGTCCCGTGATATCCTGCCAAGTTGCTCCGAACCTGCGACCGGTGCTTGCCAGCAATCCCTCCTCTTCGTCTTCCTCGGCGTCCTCGTCAACCTCGGACACGTTGAGCTTGGGGGCGCGGAAGAGTCCAGTAACGAAAATAATGAGGAAGATACCGAGGAAGACAAATTGGGCCCAAAAGTCTACTAGGCCAAAGAAGGGCCACGTGATTGCGATGCGGTTGAGAAACTCGGCCATGATGGAAGGCGTGCAGACCTTGAGGGCCTCGGGATCCAGCGCTTCAGAGCACTGTACCAAATAATCCGGTCTGTCCTTGCAATCGGGGGTCTCGCCAGCGTGGTGAGGAGCTGTGCAGTATGTCTGAGTGCCGTACATGGAGTACTGGGGAGCAACCATGTTCGCGATAGTGTAGTTGATGGCAAGAATAATAAGGGCTAGCATGACTGTCGCAATGAGGAGGGCTTGCGGCGCAGTACGTCCCTTGCGGATCTGAAAGATGCGAACCCACAAGAATCGGATGCCGATCGTGGCGATGCCCGTAATTGAACTGCTGAAGAAGAAGAGGACAAGGAGGGCCATCAAGACGTAGTCAATCGGGAAGGCCTTGGCGGACTGAATGAAGATCCAGTTGATGGGCTGGAAAATGTTGATGTGACCTAGGATATATCCGCACTTGCCCTTGCAGAAGGAGTTCTTCGCCTTGTCGATACCCGTGATCAACATGGAAACCCAGATCAGGACGGAAAGCAAGAGCAGTAGGATACCACCGAGAAGCTTGATGGGTCGGAAGACGGCGCAGACCTTGAGCCAAAATCTGTAAATGGTGCTGCGACCTTCTCCGGAGGCCTCGGCTGCTAGCCTCTCGCGACGCGTCAAAGTGCGCTCCTCGCGAACCAGTGCCTCAAGTTCACGCCTGTCCTTGGACGACATACCCTCAGGACGACCAGCATTACGCATTTCAAGCTGGCGCTGGCGCTCACGGTTTTGTTCCAAAGCGGTTGCGGTGCTCTCAGTAAGTTGGGGCGCAGAAATTGACGGCGCAGACTTGATGAAGGACATGGGAAGCAAGGCGAGT